TTTGGTTTTCTTCATTCTTCTTTGCTCTGGATGAGGAGAGACCCATCGTTGCATCTAGATGGTAGTTTCATGTTTTTAGAAGTTACATGTAGATATATTTTACATACCATAACATTCACTCATTTAAAATGTACAATTTAGTGATTTTTTAGTATATCCGTAGAGTTGTGAAACCATCACTGCTATTTAATTGTAGAACATTTTCATGATTCCAAAAAGAAACCCTGTATCCAATAGTGGTCACTCCCCTTTCCCACCACCCCACCCCCCAACCCTGGCAACCACAATTACACTTTTTGTCTTTTGAATTTTCATATTCTGAACATTTCATGTAAGTGGAATGTGTGCCTTTGCCTGTTTTTAAATTGGACTAATTAAAAATGCCGAGTTATTGGTGAGTTAGAAGAGTTCTTTATCTGGATATAAATCCCTTGTCAGATACATAATTTGCAAATATTTTCTCCTGTTCTTTGGGTTTTTCTTATTTATTTATTTATTTATTTTCATTCATTTTCTTGATGGTATCCTTGTTTTGTAAAAGTTTAATGAAATCCAGTTTTCTTGCTTTTGTCACTTAAGATCTTGTGACGTATCTAAGAACCTTGCCTAATTTAAGAGCATAAAGATTTACATCTATATTTTCTTCTAGAAGCTTTATAGTTTTAATTCCTACATTGAGGTATAGTCCATTTTTAGTTAATTTTTATGTATGAGTTTTGAAACTATGTGATAGGGATTTAAATTGATTATTTTTGTGGATATCTTTTGAACTGGATTAATTTTTATGAAAAAGTTACTGACTTAAAACTCAAATCTAGACTGTACCATAACTTCCTTTTTGTTCTTTTACAGAACATATTTTTAACCAAAGATGGGACTGTACAACTTGGTGATTTTGGAATTGCTAGAGTTCTTAATAGGTAATATATTAATTTATAAGCTTTGTAGATATAATATCTTCAGTTAAATTTTAATTCATAATGATATGTATCTGATGATTTATAATCTCTCTTCAGAATCTGAAACTTCTACAATAATTCTCTTTTTATTCTAGTACTGTAGAGCTGGCTCGTACTTGCATAGGGACCCCATACTACTTGTCACCTGAAATATGTGAAAATAAACCTTACAATAATAAAAGGTATTTAAAATGATATTTGTTATAGGATGTATTTACCTTCAAATCTTGCTCTCTTGTACTGTGTTTATTAACCTTCAGAATAGTATTGTAGCATCAATCACATATACATGTACATTATTGTATAAAAATAAATATATACATGTAATATTTATATGCTGTAATATTTATGTGTGTAAATTTATATGTAAATGTACTACACACATGTAACTGTGTATATATCTATGTATTTTTGTATGTGAGGGGAACTATAAAGAAGCTATTTCAGTATTTTGCTGAAGGAGCCATGGAAAGAATTGTTACTTCTTTTGTCACCATTGGAAAATAAAAGCACTTTCTTTAGCTTTTCTTTTGTAATAGTCACTTCCTAGTGAGTTACAAAAGCGAGTATTTGTTGTTCACTTACTTTATTCCAGGTTCTCTTTGCATTAATTCTTTTAATTGTCAGAATAACCTTGTGAGATATAGGTATCAATTACTTCTTATCTCCTTATAAGTAAGACATCTGTAGAAAGAGGTAGAGTTAACTTCCTTGAAGTCCTTCAGCCAATAAGTGGTGGACTCAGTATCCAAATAGCTGTTGACCCTTATTTCTATATTCCTTATCACTAAACAGTGCTTCAGCTAACAGATTGTAATATGTGAGTAATAAGGTGAATCTTGGCATTGAATACCAATTTTGCTTTATCTCACCTTAGTTGAAAACTCCCAACCAAGAAAAATTGGTCTTAATTTTGAAGACTCTCATGTAAGCTAAAAGAAAAAAAGGGTAGCTGCCAATCGTGCATATATATATATTCATGATTGCTACCTCTTCTTCTTCTTCTTCTTTTTTTTTTTTTTTTTTTTGAGGGTAAGGGATGAGAGATGTATTTCAAACCAGAGCAGCATAGGCTGAGAATATCATTCTAGCAATGTAGTCTTTTAACTATTTTACATTATGGTGAAAAAAATCAGTGTAGTTCATGGGATTGATTGGGATTGATTATTAGTGAATATTCTAAAGGATAGCAGCATTTCTGTTGAGCTAAAATAGTTTTACATTTTAGTGATATTTTCGTGTCTCTTGTGGGTGAATCAACTTTAATGATATCAGTTTCAATATTTAAATTAGAAATAGAAAAAAAAGAAACAGATTTAATCATCCTTTGGAAAATTTTGTATAAAATTTATTTTGGGGTATAAAGTGTTTTTAAAAGTATAATGGTTGAGCATCATTGATTATACTGTTTAAAAAAAAAAAGTTTTCACCCCAAATGCCAGACTTTAAAGTGTTTTGTTAATAGGGTCATACATTTAATGTTTTTTGTTTCTCTCTCTCTTTTTTAAAGTAGTATGTAGTTTGTAACATGTGCAAGTTACTGACCATCTTAATTATATTTGGTTTTTTTCTTGTTTAACTTTAAAATTATATTTTTGGGGTTAAAATTTTATATTTGTAGATTTTTGTGAGAGTTTAGGGAGAGGGAACCTCATGATTTCAAGAATAGATTTTAGTTTTTTTAATGAGTTCAATTTTCAAGAGTGGTAGTTTTTGGTTTCTTTTCATTTCTAAGGTGCTGAACCCTGATGAAGGAGCTCTGGTGGTGCAGTTCAAACCTACCAGCTGCTCCATAGAAGGAAGATGAGGCAATCTACTTCTATAAAGATTTACTACTGCCTTAGAAACCCAGTGGGGGTCACTGTGAGTTATAATTGACTCAGTAGCAGTGAGGTTGTTTGTTTTTTTTTTTACTTTAATGAGTTACATTTTTTTTTCTATTTTGAGAAAAGGTTTTATTTTTTCTGATTACAAAAGTATTTATTTTAAAATAAAAGGAAGAGGAGAGACTGTGAAGAAGATAGTGTAAATAAGTTTTTAAAGTAGAATAAAATAAATTAATATATATACTCTTGCAAAATATTTCAGTTACTTCACAAGTTTTATAATACCAATCTTAGTAAATTAATATTTTCTTTATGGTCATTTACAGCATATTTTTCTAATCTGACTCTTTTAATATATGGCATTATAAAAATTAAATAAAGCAGTTTGACTTCTGCTAAATAAAAATAACTGAATAAAATATGCATAAAATTTATTGACTTTGTTCTTTTAAAACTTGAATCTCTTTCATGAAACTTTAAAATAATTGCCTGGCCAACCATTATTTTTCTAATCTGGAACAGCTGCTCTTGTTACTTGATTATGGTTGAGATTTTGAGTTTTAAAGGAAATATTTTATATAACACATATTTTCCTAAAGCATTTTCATCCTACTTTTATTACTTTTACATGAAAAAAATTTTTAAAGCAGATTCTGGTACTTAGGAATTTTCTCATTTTTCTCTTATCTAGTGACATTTGGGCTCTGGGGTGTGTCCTTTATGAGATGTGCACACTTAAACATGCAGTAAGTAAAAGTTTCTGAAGTATTAGAAAACTACTTAAATTGAAAAATATTTGTAGTATTTTTATTATATTTAATTATATGTCATCTTTTATACAACTCTCTAGTACTTTAATTCTTGTAAGTCAGTTTTTAAATTTCTCATCTCTTTTCTAAAGCCTAAATTTAAAATGGTTTTCCTGTAGGAGATCTGGTGGTGTAGAGCCTAAGGCATTTGAGTGCTAACGAGAAGGCTGGAGGTTCAAACCCACCAGCCACTTCTTGCAAGGAAGGTTGGGCAATCTACTTCTGTAGTGATACTGCCTTGGAAACCGCAGGAGGGGTGGCTATGAATCAGAACTGACTCCACAGCAGTGAGTTTTTTTGTTTTTAGTAGCATATATACACATTACATATGGATATGTTATGCTTGTTATTCTAATACATATTTCATATTTTTTCCATAAAATTATTTCAAAAGGCAAATTTAGATTTTGCTACCTTGATGTTGAATTCATTTACTATGAATTTAATGTTTTAGTTTAAAAAACCACTGCCGTTGTGTTAGATCTGACTTACAGCAACCCTTCCTTAGGTTTCTGAGGTGGTATCTCTGCAGAAGTAGATTGCCCAACCTTCCTTCCAAGGAGTGGCTGGTGGGTTTGAACTGCCAGCCTTCTGGTTAGCAGTCAAATGCTAACAAATTTTATTCATTAAAATTTGTTGTTGTTGTTGTTATTTGCCATCGAGTCGGCCCCAACTCATAGCGACCCCTCCTTGGGTTTCTGAGGCAGTATCACTACAGAAGTAGGATTGCCCAACCTTCCTTCCAAGGAGTGGCTGGTGGGTTTGAACTGCTAGCCTTCTGGTTAGCAGTCAAGTGCCTTAGGCACTATGCTACCAGAGCTCCTTCATTAAAATTTAGCAAATTTTATTCATTCATTTTTGACAAATTCTGTGAAAACATCTGAATTATTTGATTTTGGACTTATTTAAGTCATTTTTTCAGCATACTCAGTGAGGAATTTTATCATTTTAAATACTCTTTTAATTCAGAGAAATTAAAATTTTCACTTTCGTAGCTATTTTGAGGTTTGACCTGCCAGCTGTCTGGTTAGCAGTCAAGTGCCTTAGGCACTACCCCAACCAGAGCTCCTCTATTTTGAGGTTGTTATGTGCCATCATGAGAATTTCTGTTCTCAGTAAGTTGAGTCTAAATATTGCTTTAAAAATTTGTCTCCCCATTGGTTAAACAATATTTTCATTACAGAAAGTTTTAGGAAACAAATAAAAATATGAAGAAGTGAATAAAAGTCATAAGCACTTCTTTCACCCAAATGAGTGTTTCCTTCTAGGCTTTATTTAGGTTTATTTATAAAATAAGTGTTTCTCTGTCCACAAAAGTTTGATTATACTATATAAACAGTTTTGTAGTCTGTTTTATTGCTTGATACTATTTAGGGAAATATTTTTTTCTTGTTATGCTTTTTCATAGTTGTATACTTTTCTACTATATTGCTTTAGAGTCTATTTTTCTTTCATAAGGAAAAAAAACAGACTGCCAAAATGGTATGGGATGGAGGTTCTTAGAAATATCTTTGAAGGAATTGATCAGGTTTTCTGTCACATGCAGTCATTTCAGCATTTTAAGTCTAAAACTACATACATTATGTGTGTGTGTGTGTGTATACATATATAAATAAATAAATAAATAAATAAATATATTTTTATGTTTTGACCTATGTTGTTTTGTCACCATTGCGTCTGTGTTTTGAAATTGTTTACTCTTAAATGGACATGTTAAATGGTACAATTCACCACTCTGTATTTATAAGACCTTGTCAGTTGAGAGATAAATGAAAATTCACTAGAGTGAAAGAATAAGGAAATAATTTTTTTCTCCTTTTAAAATTCCTCTTTAGATGCTTAAATATTTCTAGAAGATTGAAGTATATACAGATTTTTATGAACTGGAATTAAGTATTTCAAATGTTCTAGGAAGTGCTAACCATTGAACAGAACTCATGATTTAAAAAATCACTGTTAGAATTGATAGAGTTTATAGCATGTTTTGCTTTTGTTAATGTAGTATATAACATTGAACTGTTTTTAGTGGAAGAATCAAAAACTTAGTTTTGCTTTCTTTCAAAATGAAATTTTTAGATTTTAAACTTTACCACCTGGGTTTCCTTTAGATTTTAGTTAGAGTTTATGTTGTATTTTATCCTAAAATATGCATTCTGGCAGATGTGGATTATATTAGAATATTTTTGACATTGCTGATTACATAGCATAACACACACTACATAATACCACATAATAATAATAATGTATAGCCTTAAAGAGGAAAGTAATTTAGAGAATTACTACTTTTATGTATTGTATTTTCCCCAAAATACTTTTAGTTCTATAGATAACTTCTTATTTTAGTTATTATACCAGAGGCATTTTAGTTTAGGAAGACAGATATTCTCTTTGGAATATGTTTATAGATAATCAAGCAGACTTTGCTGTAGACAACATATGTTGATTAAAATATTTGGAAGAAAATTGTATTTCTCTTCTGTATCGGTAAGAAAAGAACTAGTTCTCATTGCTGATGTTACCAGTTTCAATTCATGTATGTTTCATATACATTCATTTATTTTCTGGATTTTAGTTTGAAGCTGGCAATATGAAAAACCTGGTACTGAAGATAATATCTGGATCTTTTCCACCTGTCTCTTTGCATTATTCCTATGATCTCCGCAGTTTGCTCTCTCAGTTATTTAAAAGAAATCCTAGGGATAGACCATCAGTCAACTCCATACTGGAGAAAAGTTTTATAGCCAAGCGCATTGAAAGGTTTCTCTCACCTCAGGTATGCTTTTTTACTTTACAATTAAAATATAACTGTAAGGTGTGATGTTTTAAATGAGGAAATGCCCTTCCTTTTGGAGGAGAGTTTGTCAGAACCTTGGATGGATGAGGTGCCTTTTTCAGACTACATGGGGATCACTGTCCATTCTGATATAATACTTCCCCTTCCTATTTACTTTTCAGGTGTGAATCATTCCTCTGTCTCTTGGGTTATTAACTGTAAAATTTTTAAATCTTTCTGGGTCTCATTTTCCATATGTATAAACAATGGGGATTATAAATATATTTAATATTATAAGGTTGTTATGAAAATTAAAAGTGATAGTGTATGTAATGTGTAACACGTAATAAGTTTTCATTGTATTCATCATCAACATATCAATTTATTATACTAATATAAATATAGTAATAATTCTATTTAATAGGAAAATGTTAGGAAACATCATTCTACAGTCTTTTATATATATGTGTAATGGATTATCAACTTGATTTTCCCTGTAGTATTGTAATATAGGCATATAACAAATTCTTAATATTGAGTTAAATTGAATTTTAATTTGACAGGATTTATAAGAAGTCTGTATCAAACCATTAACACAGTGTCACCAACTGAGATTCAAATTATTTTATATTTTGTTTAGTGTGGCCTTTACTAGTTTAAGTGATCACTATTAAACTCTTCTGTAAGTAATATATCTAGTAAATATATAGTAAAATAATAGTAAAATGTGTCTAGTGAAAAGTTTTGTTACTTTTCTATGTTGTGGAAGAAGGAATTGTCATATCCTGAAAATGCATTGAATAATTATTCTCAGCACACAGAGCATGTGGATTTAACTATTACTACCCGACTCAACAGGAGTGAGTTTGCTTTTTTGTGTGTATTAGGAGCATAAAGGAGCCCTGATGGCACAGTAGATAAGGTGTTTGGCTGCTAACCTGAAGGTCAGCTGTTAAAACCTGGCAGCCACTCTACGGAAGGAAGAAGGGGCAATCTACTTCTGAAAAGATTTACAGCCTCGGAAACCCCTTGGGGTTCGCTGTGAGTCAGAATTGACTCAATGGCATTGAGCTTTGTTGGTTTCTTTCTTTTTTTTTTGGTATTAGGAGCATATATTAGTAAGACACTCAAAATTTGAAGTTTAAAGATTACTTGTGTAGGACATGGCAGCAGTCTTGGAAATGTGTCTCATAAGACTTCTTTGTCATAGATAATATTTGCAAACGCAGTTTTAATGATGCAGTATACTGCTGTTATTTGTTGGTAATTTTCTTTAAGACCTGGTCAGTTTCTTCTTTTGTGATGCGTCTTTTAAAAATTTTCACCTCAGTCTCTGTTAGTTTAGATAAGTAGTATATTTCTAGAAATCTATCCATTTCTTCTAGATTTTCAAATTTGTTGACTGTAGTTTTTCATAGTATCCTGATTTTTTCCTTTTAATTTCTGTTGATCTGTTGTGATGTCACCTGTTTCACTTCTTATTCATGTTATTTGTATTCTCTCCCTCTTTTCCTTTGTTAAATTGGCCAGTGGTTCGTCAATTTTATTAATCTTTTCACAAAACCAGCTTCTAGTCTTGTTGATTTTTTCATTTGTCTTTCTGTTTTCTGGTTCATTTATTTCTGCTCAAATCTTTATTGTTTCCTTTCTTCTGGTGACTGTAGGCTTTTCTTGCTATTCTTCTAATTGTTGGAGATACTGGTTTAAAGTATTGATTTTGCTTCTTTCTTCTTTTTTGATGCATTTATTGCTATAAATTGGCCTCTGATCACTGCTTTTGCTGTGTCCCAAAGATTTTGGTATGTTGTGTTTTCGTTCTTGTTTGATTCAAGGAATTTTTTTATTTCATTTTTTATTTCTTCTGTTACCCAGTCATTCTTAAGAAATGTGTTGTTCAGTTTCCATGTGTTTGCTCTTTTTCTGTTGATCTTCCTATTGTTGTTTTCTAATTTTATAGTATTGTGATGTGAGAAGATGCTGTGCGGTATTTCAATGTTTTTAAATTTATTAAGCCTTGCTTTATGATGATAAACATAAGATATGGTCTATCATGGAGAATGTTCCATGTGCACTGAAAAAGAATGTATATTATTCTGTTGTTGGGTGAAGTGCTTTGTAGATGTCTATAAGGTCAAGTTGGTGGAGTGTATTGTTTATTTCTTCTGCGTCTTTGTTGAGTTTCTTTCCAGTTCTATCTTTCATTGAAAGTGGTGTGTTAGTCTCCTGCTATGACTGTGGAGTCATCTGTTTGTCTTTTCAATCCTGTTAAAGTCTGATTTATGTATTTTGGGGCTCTTTCGTTGGGTGCATAGATATTTGTTATGGTTATGTCTTTCTTCAGTCGATCCTTTAATCATTATATAATGCCCATACTTGTCTCTTATGGCAGTTTTTGTCCTTAAAGTCAGTTTTATCAGAATTAAGATTGCCACTCCTGCTCTTTCATGGTTCCCATTTACTTGATATGTCTTTTTCCAACCTTTGATTATTAGTCTATTTGTGTCTTTCTCTCTAAGGTGTGCCTCTTGTAGACAGCATATTGATGGGTTATATTTTCTTATCCACTCTGCAGCTCTTTGTCTCTTAAGTGGTACATTTAATCCATTGACTTTCAGTGTAAATATCAACAAGTATGAATTTGTTGCTGTCATTTTGTTAGGTGTTTTTTCGTGGTGTTACTAATTTCTTTGTTCCATATATTTTTCTGTCCTGACCTCCTTTTGTTTATGGATTATGTTATCGCTTCCTTCGTTGCTGTTGTTTTAGTATTTGCTAAATATTTGTGCTTGTCCTTTTCTTATTTTAATGTTATCATTTTTCTTTGAGGTTACCCTGTGATTTATAATTTTCTTCCTAAGTTTAGAGCAGTCCATTCTATCTTGCAATTATCTTGACTTCCTCATGATTAAGAAGTTCTGTAACTATGCAGTATTTTTCCCTCTTTTTGGTTTGTAGTTGTCTTCCTTTGCCAATTGATGTCTCTGGTTCCCTGTTTACAATCTTGGAGGCTTATTTACTTTGGATACTTCCATAACTGGGTTGGTTTCTGGGTTATGTCATCATGTCTGTTAATGGTCAGTTGTTGTTTGCTATTGTTGGTTCTTTGTCTAACATCTCTTGTATGGTTGGTGGAGTTTTAACAAATTCCTTCAATTTCTGCTGGAAATGTCCTAATTGCATCATCATATTTGAGGGCAGTTTTGCTGGGTACATAGTTCTTGGTTGGAAATTTTTTTCATTCGTAGTTTTATATATACTATCCCATTGCCTTCCAGCCTGCATAATTTCTTGCTGAGAAATCAGAGTTTAGTCTCATTGGTTGCCCTTCATAAGTAACTTTTCATTTATTCTGGGCTGCTTTTAGGATTCTTTCTTTGTCTTTGGTTTTGGTGAGTTTGAGGATATGTCTTGGTGATTTTCTTTTGGGGTCTATCCTGTTTGGGGTTCTTTGGACTTTTCGAATGGATATAGTCCTGTCTTTTATCATATCAGGGAAATTCTTTTCCAATAAATCTTCAACAATTTTTTCTGTGTTTTTATTTGTGTCTTCCTGTTCTGAAATTCTGATTACATATAGGTTTTCCTTTTGATGGTATCCCACATGAACTTTAGGGTTTCTTCATCTTGTTTTGATCTATTTTCTGCTTGATCCCTTTCCAAAGAAGTATTGAAGTATTTGTCTTGAATCTCACTAATTCTATCTTCCATTGATTCAGTTCTGCTTCTTTGCCTATTCAATGTGTTATCTGTTTTTGAGAATTTAGTATTAGTCTTCTGGATTTCTATCTGTAGATTTTGTATCATTTCTAATTTTTCATTTATTTTGTCATTTTGTCCTTGTATTGTCTTCTGATATTGTTCTAGGGTTTTCTCTGTTTTTCCCTTAATTTTGTCTGTGTTTTCCTTGATCTGTCTCTCAGTTAGTTGAAGGTATCTTAATGTAACTCTTTTGAATTCCTTATCAGGGAGTTCTGAGGCTGCTTTTTTCTCAGGGATGTGTTCTGGGTCTGTATCCTGATCCCTTGTTACTACTGCTTTCTCTTACTTCTGTGTGGGAACTGGGATGATCTGTTGTCTCTGAGACATTGTGATGTGTTTATGTTTATATTTAATTGGTGATTGTATGTTGGAGTGATTTGCCTAAGATTTTAGTTTTCTTCAGATGTATCTGTGTAAGCAGGGTACTGTGCTCCTCTGTTCACTAGTTGGCAGCACTTATGCACTGACCACCTGTCCCCTTTCCAGTTGTCAGCCTCCTGTATGCCTGTGTTGTCTTTGGCAAGCAAAGCCTATTCTTAGATTTCTGGAATCTGAATGAGAATACTGTCACTTTAAATATGCAAAATGGCCTCAGCTTATAAACATTCAGAATGGATGCGCCCAACCACCACTTGTACACATTCAAAATGGCTGTGCCTACCTGCCACTGGTAAACATTCAGAATTGCTGCACCCTCCAGACAGCTGAGCTCTGGTGGTGTAGTGCCTAAAGCATTTGACTGCTAACCAGAAGCCTGGCAGTTCGAACTCAGCAGCCACTCCTCGGAAGTAAGGTTGGGCAATCTACTTCCATAGTGATACCACCTTGGAAACTCAAGTAGGGGTCATTATGAGTTGAATCCGACTCGATGGCAGTGAGTTGATCCAGACAGCCGAAAGTCCACAGCTCAGTTTGTCTCTTTTTTTGCTGCTTCCCTTTTCAGTTGTCAGGTACCTGTCCATACAACCCTTGGTGAGCAGGGCCACTTTTTAGGTTAATTCGCAGGTCCTTACATCACTTGGAAATATTCAGGCTGTCTATGCCCTCAGGACAGCTGAAAGTCCACAGCTCCCTTTGTCTCCTTACTCACAGTTTTCATTCAGGTTCTTCTCCTAGTTGTTGTTCAATCCACTGCTGTATTCTTCCTTTCAAAGTTCAGGGCTCCAGGATTATTGTCTGTATCTGTGTTAATTAGTTTCTCTTTTCTTTGTTGAGGAAGTTCTACATAGCTTCTCTGCCTA